TTTATATTTGTAAGGTTAGTGGGTTTCTCACAAATTGAGATCCCATAAACTTGCTGTTCACTTGTTATTTATTTATTTTTGTTCTGATATGGGACCACCATGTAACTTCCTAGGGGTGAGAATGGGGAGCTCCGTGTTGGTGTTAGACGTGCTATGAGACAGCAAGGCAGTGTACCATCTTCCGTGATATCCAGTCACAGTATGCATCTTGGTGTCCTCGCAACTGCATGGCATGCCATTTTAACAGGAACCATGTTCACTGTGTACTACAAGCCAAGGTGTGGTCTATTTTTATTATTTGTATATCTCAGCAATTAGTTTAGAGGTTTCAAATTTACTGTGAAAGTTGTGTTTTATTTTGTTTGTAGTATTTGATCTTAATGTTTAGTTCGATTTTGTTTCTGAAGTACTGTTTCAATTGTTTGTTTACAGGACAAGTCCTGCTGAGTTCATTGTTCCATTTGATCAATACATGGAGTCTGTTAAAAACAACTATTCTATAGGCATGCGGTTTAAGATGAGGTTTGAAGGTGAAGAAGCTCCAGAGCAGAAGTATGTTTGATGGATGCTGAATGCCTCCTTTCTGTTTATATTAATTACCTGAAAGTGCACTGAGTTTATCTTGTCGTAGGTTTAGTGTAATGAGTTTATCTTGTTGTAGGTTTACTGGCACCATTATTGGAACAGAAGATGCTGACACCAAAAGGTGGCGAGATTCCAAATGGAGATGCCTTAAGGTAAGGAGAATTTCTTAGGCCACCAATTTAGACTCTTTTTTTTTTTGGGTAAGCTAAAACAAACATTCTTATGTTTCTTAAAGGTGAGATGGGATGAAACCTCTACTATTTCCCGTCCAGAGAGAGTTTCACCTTGGAAAATAGAGCCTGCCCTTGCTCCTCCTGCACTGAATCCACTTCCAATGCCCAGGCCGAAAAGACCTCGAACACACATGGTGCCGTCATCTCCAGATTCCTCTGTCCTCAGTAGGGAAGGTACAGTCTAATTGACATTGTAATCTTTTTAGATACCTTAAATTCTTTTATGCAGAACATTTTTTCCTATCTTTCTACTAAAAAGTAATAATATATTCTTCTTCTGTTACTTTAGTTGGATCATCAAAAGTAAATGTTGACCCTGCGATGCCTGGTGGGTTTTCAAGGGTCTTGCAAGGTCAAGAGTTCCCGACCTTGAGAGGCAATTTTGCGGAGAGCCAGTCTGATACTGCTGAGAAATCTGTTGCATGGCCACCGTCGATAGACGAAGAGAAGATTGATGTAGTATCTGCTTCAAGAAGATATGGTTCAGAGAATTGGATGTCCTCAGGGAGGCATGAACCAACTTACACAGATCTGCTGTCAGGCTTTGGGAATAATGTTGATTCCTCACATGGAATCTGTCCCCCTTTTGTCGATCAAGGGGTAGCATCTGCTAATTCAATGCGAAAGCATTCACTGGATCAGGAAGGGAAATATAACTCGCGTTCGTGGTCCATGTTACCATCATCCCTGTCTCTTAGCTTGGACTCTAATCAGAAAGGTCCTCTTGGAAATATGTCGCATCAAGCACAAGGGAATTCTAGATATGGTGGTTTTGGTGACTATTCTGTTGTGAATGGGCATAGAATTGAGCTCCCTCATGGAAATTGGATGATGCCTCTACCACCTCCATCACCTTTTGAGAATCCGGGGAATGCAAGGGACATCATGCCGAGACCACAGATGTTACTAGACAAACGTGAAGCTGTGAACCCTAAAGATGGAAACTGCAAGCTTTTTGGCATTCCCCTGATAACACCAGATCCTGCATTGTTACACAGAAATATGATGAATGAGTCACCTCGTAATAACCAAGCTCATACTTTTGAGTCTGACCTGAATTCTGAAAAATCAAGGGGCTTAAAATCAACAGATAATCTCGTGGCTGTCAGTGAGCCAGCTTTGCAAACTTCTCAGCAACATATCAGAGATGTTCAGGGTAAATCACAGGGTGGTTCAACTAGGAGTTGTACTAAGGTATGTATCTCCTTCCCGACTATTTTGTTAGGCTTTATTTGGAGCTCTGTTGATAATACGAAAGCCTATCAAAAGCTGAACTTAATAAATTGCTGTTGGCTCCAGGTTCACAAGCAGGGTATTGCACTAGGTAGGTCTGTTGATCTTACCAAGTTCAACAACTACAAGGAGCTGATAGCTGAATTGGACATGTTGTTTGAGTTTGGTGGTGAGCTGATGTCTCCGAAAAAGAATTGGATGATCGTTTATACTGATGATGAAGGTGATATGATGCTTGTTGGAGACGATCCTTGGCAGTAAGTATTTATCTTTTATCAATCTGCAGGATTAGTCATTTATTGCCTTCAAGTTGAGTAAAGAGAGATGTTTTATATCAATTTGTGACTGAGAGGTTTACTAAGTAGCGGTTTTATATGCTTGGTTCAGGGAATTTTGTGGCATTGTCCGGAAGATTTTCATCTACACCAGAGAGGAAGTCCAAAAGATGAACCCTGGGACTTTGAATGCACAGTGGGAGGATAATCTGTCATCGGGTGCGGAGGGTGTGGATGCAAGAGAGGGGAAGTCTCAACCACGTCCATCTGCATCTACTGCTGAGAAGTGTTAAGCCTGGTTCTCGAGATTTGTAGGTATATGACTAAGGTATATAATTATCCTTGGATCATATGTTCTTTTTGTTGTCCATTTTACGTCCCTTTTGGCCATTTCCATCATGCATCTTACTGAAGACGTGTAGAGTTTTGGGGGCGAGATGATAGTCATGGTGTTCTTGTGAGGGTCCCTACTATAAGCTATTCGGATATATGAAGTAACGGAGTTGGATGTGAGCCGTGAGCCATTTCACTATTGGACTTTCAAATTCGGCTGACGAGAGTCCCATATAGATGGCGAATGTGATAGATCCAGTTTTGGACATATTTCTGGAGTTAGTTTATTTGGAAGCTATCTGGTTATAATATAGATATAGATAAATATGTATACCCTTTTGATTCGAGCAAGTTGACGTGGGACTTGCTTTTTGTCAAACAATTCCACCTTGTACATAGGCTGCTTCGACCTCTTTTTCCCGTCCTTGTGATGTAAGTTTACAGATTATCTGATGTTATGATGTTTTTCGGTCAAGGAAATTACTTATTGCTTTCAGTTTTGTTGGTTTATGTTGTAAAACATCGAGCATGTCTAGCAGGCATTTCGTTAAAAGTTGAAATCCTGCGGAATGTGTTCTGTTTTGTAAAGATTGGCTATTTTTACAAGCAGCACTACTCTAGTTTGCAAGTAACCAATGGATTTCGTCGCTAAATGAGTTGCGTTCTCTTTTTTCTTCAGCCGCACTTTTCTTTTTCCTACCCTGTGCTTGAATAAAAACAAAGGAAAATTGACTAAAAGTTCTCAAAAACTTTAGTTTTAATCAAAATAACAAAATAGTATTGTAAGTGAATAGAATCATGAGTGATTTTTTTTTACACCAAAAGTGTCCTTAACGTTAAAAGTGAATAATCCTAGGAAAGTTTTATTAAGACTTCTTAAAAAACAATAAGAGTGCCGAAGGAGAAATGAGAGGCTTCATTTGGTTGCAAGTCCCTTCGCATATAGCGCATAAAGGTTGAGTTCTGGGGTGTGTTTTCTTCTTCAAAATGCGGAATTGAAGTGTTCTCTGTTGTGGTGTGGAGTTTTGAGATGCTTATCTCTTACGTTATGTAATGTCTATGGTTTCGTGAGGTTTCTTTTACCAAAACTAAAGAATTTCATGGTGTAAAGCAACCTCTCTTTGACAATGCTATTCAAAACCAAGCAAGCTTTATTGAATCTGTCAATTTTACGTAATTAATGTGTGTTTAATTGACTCTTTTGATGTTAATCTTTGAATATTTTCCTAAATTACAGAGTCCCAGTATTATGGTTTTCTTCCCTGTCCCTCCTGGATTAGGGTTTGCCTTTCTTTTTCCCCCAAAAATTGAACTTTTGTTTCCACCCAACTTTTCTCTTTTGGCCAATTTTTACACCTCAAACTTGAAGAAAAACTGTCACACAACACATTGTTGTCGCTTGCCACCCACTACATTGCCATAATTTCCCCAATCCTCCCAACTTGTTAAAGTTTGACTCGGATGCTAAAAAATGGATTGTCTACTGTTTGAATGACATCAATAGCACTGTGTTGTATACCATCAGATGAATTTGATTTTTGAGATCCGTAAAGGAGATAAATTAAATCGAACTCATCTGATGACAGATAATGAAGTCAGTGTTAAGAAAAAATGAATTCTTCTAGCGTACGAAACGTAACTAAAGATGTAATGCCGGGAGCTGGATAAGATATTTTTTCATAGCAAGACAAATATGTTAATTCGACCTTTTCCCATTGGACCCGTTTTCGTATAAAAAGTCAAGAAATTACCAACTAGCGAGAAAAAAGATCTTAAGAAAGAAGAATAGTCGCTGCGAAGTTCTTCGTGACCAAGCATATCACCTAGGATAATGGCAAAAATAAGGTAAGAAAAGATAAGAGGCAAAGACATACGGATACGGATACAACGGGGAAATACTAGTCGTATATACTATGCTATGACTATTCACAATGACACATGACCAAGGAAAAAGCATATTCCAAGCAGAAACATCTCCCACCTCACAACCTCTTGATATTATTTGTTGGGTTGGGACCATTTTTGGGTCTCATTGCTTTCATGGTCACCTTTATATTCAACCACATTACGTCACCACCAAGCAAGCTCTGGACTGGACGAAGCCCATTTCTTCAATTTTCTTTTAAGCCCAATCTTACTAATGTTCTTTTTCAAGCCCAATTATTTCTTTTACAAGCCCATTTATATTATGGATCATTATTTGGGTACGCGGGCACGAATATAATGGTGCCCGGTACCCGAGATAGGCTTGTGCGCGGAACCTTTTGACATTGTTTTTTTTTTTATTTTTTTTATTTTAAAGATTGGATAAAATCAACACTAGGGCAAAAGTCAACAGAACAAAGAAAGCCCACCAAAGGGGCAAACATAGCAAAACAAAGAAAAGGGTCGTGAGAGGGATAACAGAGAAAAGACGCTACCACAAAGGCAAAATGTCAACCCAACGCACACCCACAAAAACAAAAAACAATTACAGAGGGCAAGGAAGCCCATCCTTGTTGAGAATGTGAATCAATGAAGATAGGGGGTCTTTTGACCCAAGTGGTGCTGCACATCTCCATGTTTTTCCTCGACGCCAGATGGTTCGCCGACTGATTGGCCGATCTTGGAACCCAAGACCAACGACAGCCCTGAAAAGAGTTCCCCAAACTCAAAATAGCATCTAAGATTGGAAACACTTGCCAACTGCCCTTAGAAATATCACCCTGTAAGGAAACGATCATCTCAAGCGATTTAGATTCTGCCTCAACCCACCTAAAACCCAGCTCCGCTGCTAGTTCACAACCTCTAAGCATTGCCATTGCCTCCGCAAACACCACTGATCTAGCCACAAGAGAAAGCTTATGAACTGCCAAGAAAATACCATCATGATCCCGCAACACCGCAGCCACAGTAGCCCTACCATCCAGCTGGAACCAACTAGCATCCACATTAAGTTAAATGACCTTTTGACATTGTTTTTTTTTTTTTTTTTTTTGAAAGGATGACCTTTTGACATTGTTTAGCACACAAACTTGGAAGTGTTTCGATCATAAAAGCCTTTTTAGCTAAGTACATATTATATCCTTCGAGTTATGAGCGATTTTTAAAACGGATACAAGATTTTGGAATTGTACCAATTTATGTCGTTTAATAGTTTGATTATGTAATTTTTTATTAAATTATTACTCTGAAAAAGCGTGGATTCTATTTTTGAATTGACATGGAAGCTACACTTGCACCATGAACAAAACTAGTTATTGTGGAACTTTTACTTTTCCTTAATCAAATCCATGTATCAAAACCACAACCAATCACATAGATTAATCCAACCGGTGCTAGTGTGGCTTCTACACGATCTAAAAATAGATCAAATATCTCACACGTTATCAGTTTAATAGAGAATCATATGGTCAAATAGTTAAAAAGCGTAATTAATGCTATATCAAAATTTCATCATGCCAAATATGAGAAACTTCAAAATTTGTGTCGCATTTTAAAATCACACAAAACATGATGTTGTAAAATGTATTTTTCATTGTCAAACTCTTTAGTTTTAATTAAAAAAAAAGAAGACATTTTATCTAATAAAAGGCTTATGAGTAACGTGTTTGTTTTCTTTATAGAAGCAATCCTTAAAAAAGCTTGTAGAAAACCATTCACCACAAAGAGAGATTTTTTGGTGTACAACGAGCACGTCCCATTACATCAAGTGTAATTTTGGTTGGAAACTAAAAAGAAAAAATATTTTTCAACTCGTTGTATTATGACACTTGTTATACCGAGCCGTGTTCTTGGCACACAAAACATTTCTCCATGGTCAGATAATAGCACAATTATTGTAAAAGGGATAAATTTTATGGGGTAATTCCGGTCACAAAATTATCTAATAACAAGGAAAAGAAAGCTGAGAATAAATTTTTTTTCTTCAGTAAATCCAGTTCTGATCGAGCTGAATTTGCCGATGGTACAAAGCAAACCTACAACTACAAAGTTTATGTTCCTTCAAAATCTGCTAATTAAGAAGTTGGTTGAACGACACAATTGAGCTATCAGCTATGACAAGACACATACAAATTGCACGACTCCTGGATTAGGGTTTGCCTTTCTTTTTCCCCAAAAAATTGAACTTTTGTTTCCACCCAACTTTTCTCTTTTGGCCAATTTTTACACCTCAAACTTGAAGAAAAACTGTCACACAACACATTGTTGTCGCTTGCCACCCACTACATTGCCATAATTCCCCAATCCTCCCAACTTGTTAAAGTTTGACTCGGATGCTAAAAAATGGATTGTCTAATGTTTGAATGACATCAATAGCATTGTGTTGTATACCATCGATGAATTTGATTTTTGAGATTCGTAAAAGAGATAAATTAAATCGAACTCATCTGATGACAGATAATGAAATCGGTGTTAAGAAAAAATGAATTCTTCTAACGTACGAAACGTAACTAAAGATGTAATGCCGGGAGCTGGATAAGACATTTTTTTCATAGCAAGACAAAAATGTTAATTCTACCTTTTCCCATTGGACCAGTTTTTGTATAAAAAAGTCAAGAAATTACCAACTATCGAGAATAAAGATCTTAAGAAAGAATAGTCTCCGCGGAGTTCTTCGTGACCAAGCATATCACCTAGGATAATGGCAAAAATAAGGTAAGAAAAGATAAGAGGCAAAGACATACGGATACGGATACGACAGAGAAATACTAGTCGTATATACTATGCTATGACCATTCATAATGACACATGACCAAGGAAAAAGCATATTCCAAACAGAAACATCTCCCACCTCACAACCTCTTGATATTATTTGTTGGGTTGGGACCATTTTTGGGTCTCATTGCTTTCATGGTCACCTTTATATTCAACCACATTACGTCACCACCAATCAAGCTCTGGACTGGACGAACCCATTTCTTCAATTTTCTTTTAAGCCCAATCTTAGTAATGTTATTTTTCAAGCCCAATTATTTCTTTTTGAAGCCCAATTATTTCCTTTCAAGCCCATTTATATTATGGACCAGTATATGGGTACGGATACGAATATAGTGGTGCCGGGTACCCGAGATGGGCTCGTGCGCGGAACCTTTTGACATTGTTTAATACACAAACTTGGAAGTGTTTTCATCATAAGAGCCTTTTTAGCTAAGTACATATTATATCCTTCGAGTTAGGAGCGATTTTTAAAACGGATACAAGATTTTGGAATTGTACCAATTTATGTCGTTTAATAGTTTGATTATGTAATTTTTTTATTAAATTATTGCTTTGAAAAGCGTGGATTCTATTTTTGAATTGACGTGGAAACCACATTTGCACCATGAACAAAACTAGTTATCGTGGAACTTTTACTTTTCCTTAATCAAATCCATGTATCAAAACCACAACCAATCACGTAGATTAATCTGACCGGTGCTAGTGTGGCTTCTACATGATCTAAAAATAGGTCAAATATCTCACTCGTCATCAGTTTAATAGAGAATCATATGGTCAAATAGTTAAAAAGCGTAATTGATGCTATATCAAAATTTCATCATGCCAAATATGAGAAGCTTCAAAATTTCTGTCGCATTTTCAAATCACACAAAACATGATGTTATAAAATGTATTTTTCATTGTCAAACTCTTTAGTTTTAATAAAAAAAAATAGACATTTTATCTAATAAAAACGCTTATGAGTAACGTGTTTGTTTTCTTTATAGAAGCAATGATACATCACGACCCGAAATGTCTACTAGGACTCCGAATCGAGCTGTGTTGGCCGACATCCGGAAGGTGATGAAGCCATAAAATGTGATGATGTGGAAGATTGTGAATAAATTTAAATATAAGAGTGACTAAATACCAAAGTGCACCGGTGAGCGGGAATGAACCCACTTTACACGTGATGTTAGAGCATAAGCAAGTACAGAAAAGTGAATTAAGAATCGTACCCTCGAAATAATCTCCAATACTAAGAATCGCCACGAATCTTCAACGATAAGAAAGCTCAGCTAATAAAACCTAGAGGGTGAAGACAAGATAAAGGTGAGTGGCCCAGTAAGTAAAGTTTTAATAGAAACCATGTAAAACATTATAACCCCTCACTTCAACACCTGTAGAGTTTCCAGAAAATTCATAATATACCACAACACAACATTTCATCAATAATATTAAATAATCATGCGATTAATAATTCATACTAGTACGCAAGTCGAAGTCACCTAGGGTGACCTGTACAACTTACCCATATCTCATCACATATACCAGTTTATAACATATTCATTACATATGCTAGCTCATCACATACTCATCACATATGCTAGCTCCTCTCTTATTCGTTACATATGCTAGCTCATCACATACTTATCACATAGGTTAGCTCGTCTCTTATTCATTACATATGCTAGCTCGTCTCTTATTCATTACATATGCTAACTCATCACATATTCATCACATAAGTTAGTTCATCTCTTATTTATTACATATGCTAGCTCATCACATACTCATCACATAAGCTAGCTCGTCTCTTATGCATTACATATGCTAGCTCATCACATATTCATCACACATCTCATCAATCGTGGCTAGCATATAAGTCGGAGTCACCTCTAGTGACCTATACGACTGTATTCATATTTCATTAATCATTGCTAGCACATAAACCGGAGTCACCTCTAGTGACCTATACGGCACTACGCCTGCACACGAGTCGGAACCATAGTAGTGGTATGTACGACATGACTGGGTGTAAATGTATACGCTCAAGTGCTATGATCACGTGAAGAGTCACCTACGAGTCGGAACCACTTATAGTGGTATGTACGACAAGCATGTGCACCTACCTTGAATTCAAGGTGAGCGTATGGTGCGGGAGGTGAACATTACGTGAAGAACTGTGCCTTGGCCACATGAGGGAACACTAACACCAGGGTGCAGGTTTATGATCTTTGAATGCTTACAACATGTATAACTTAAAAGCAACATGTACGACAATGCCGGAGTTGCCTACTATTACAACATGTACGACAATGTTGGAGTTGCTTTAAACATAAATGTACTCATATCATAACCCCATCAATTCAACTAATACCGTATACTTACTTGAACTTACTTAAACTTATCTGAACTTACCTGAACTTACCTGTGTATCATGCGTTCACCTTTGCACTTTAGAGCGTTCACAATAATTATGTGCAAGAAATATACGTATGGATATGCCATGATGAAATCTAAAATAAAAACATTTCATAGTATTTCCAATTATATAATATGGTGTACTAACTATTAATCACCAAAACATAAAGTTAAAACGCACATTTATCACCAATATCCCTCACATTGCTCAATTCCTTAAACAAGGCTATTGTCTCGATTATATAATCTCATTTCTTATATGGCTGCATCTAATGTCTTGTTAGACTGCCTAGGTACCCTAAACAGGGATCAAGTCATTCGTAGTTCGCAATAATCATTTATTATACGCATATGGATATATCACGATGAAATCTAAACTCAACCATCTCATAGTATTTTATAACATATAAATATATATATGTCATGGCATAAATTTCTCAGTTTTATTTAAAAGCATTTATAGAATTATCAATCATGAAAAATATGATAAGCAAGGAAAGGAAAGATCCACTCACCTGGAGTCCGCGCTACAACTTCCTAGCACAAACATCGAGGCATCACAAACGATCGACGCATGTGACCAATTATCAAACCATATCTCAGAATTCTCGTTGATACAATACATAACTTAAATCGCACATAAGTCTACGTAATTCGGTCCAGAAGATCTACAAATCAAATATCTGATTCGTAACTTCCAAGGATCCACATTAAGCTTCTAAAATAATATACTAAAGTTTTGGAATGATCAAACGGTCGGATCTCCGCCAATTGCCAAAACCAAGTGGCAGTTAACATTTTATTTTACGAACTTACAAATCCAATTCGAGAAGATCTGTACGTCGGATTCCCAATCTGTGAGTTCCCATATTCCTCAAATATTATGAATAATAACCTATTAAAGTTTGATGGCAATCCAACTGTTAGATCGTCGATTCATATAATGGCCTATTAACGTATCTTAGAGAATTTTGGTTCTAACG